AGGGGTATACTTCCCCTGGTAAGAGGGCGATTTTGAAAAACCCTTCCGAGAGTAGCTTTTTCTGCGCAGCTCATCATTTCTGCCCATCCGAAACACATTCCAACCATCAAAACCGTGCCCAGACCCCTCATTTTCCTAATCCTGCCCTGGGGGCACAGTGATTGTGAACCCTTTGGGGACATGCCAGAGGTTCGCCATCACTGGTGCTGGGCCACAGCTGGCCCTTTTTTCCTGCTCCTTCCCCAGAAGATGCCAGGCAGGGCAGCAAAGGCTCCGCTCTGGAGCTGGCTACGTCTTGGGAACCACGGTGGATGCCTTGAGGTTCGTGTGCCGATCTGGAATTGTGACTCGTGGAGCACTCTCCCAAAAATGGCACCCTCCGGGAACATGCGTCTCCAAATCTGAACAAACCGAAAAAAGCCACAGGCGTAAATATGGGTGTTCACATGCTGAAAATTAAGCCCTTTTAAACAGTGATTCTCTACTCCACCTCCTGAGAAATCCGTCGGGGGAGAATCGGACGGAGTTTCACGCCTACCCCCTCACCGCTGCCCAGCAAGACCCGCGGGGCGCCCCGCATCGGCCACCGGGCCACGGGGAGCACCACCCTTCCCCCCCGAGCCCCGTCCCTCCCGGCCCGCTCACCTGCAGCCCTGCGGCCGGCATCGCTGTTCGCCTCGTCCGCCGGGAGGTCGCTGTGGAAGCTCTCCGTGGCGCTCAGCCCTCCGCCGCGCTCGCTGCCCAGACTGCTCCGGCTCTCTGAGTGCCGGCTCCCCAAGGGCCGCCCGGTGCCCCAGCCTGGACCGCCGGCTGCCTCGCTGCTGGATGCTAACGGACGGCAGGACAACGGACACCCTCTAAGCCTGTGCAGCACGTCCGGCTGTCCGGGCTCTGCTTCTTAGGCCCGGGTGGGTGGGATTTTGTAGCACCGAAAAGCGACCCTCATAAAAGTCCCCCACATTTCTGAATCCCCCCTCGAGCGTCCTGGAGGGGGTTGTGCATTTCTGGAGGCCCCAGTTTGCCCAAATACAAACCATACGTGTCTCTTGGTTAAGGGCATCCCTGTGAAACTCCCTACAGATTCATCCTTTCTGAGAAAAATGCATCTCGTCGATATAATTTTTAAAAGCCAATGCTACGCCTTCCAAACAACGTGGAGCGATTTATCATGCCGGGCCAGGCGTTCAAAAATCCTCGGAAGGATAATCAATCATTGTCAAAGTGTGTGATAGATTAAAACCTACCACAATATAAATATGTTACAAATTCGCAGAGAGAGTTATAACGAAGCACGACTTTATGAAATGGAATCTGGGAAATGAAATTCTTCCAAAGGTTGCTTTGGAAGGAGCCAGGCTCGGGAAAGCTGCCTTAGAGACACGCTTCCGTTTGCAAAAGGTCCGTGAGCATGCACGGAGTTTTGCTCGTGGGCACACGCCAGTCGCGGTGTTGCTCACCTGATTCTGTCCAGTGCTTTCTGCTCTTGAACCCCTTCGTGCCCGCAGCCACGGAGCGGTCATCCAGACTCGAGGAGCTAAATTCAGAGTCGCTGTCGCTGTCACTGGATATCACTGCGGGAAGGAAAAATAAAGGAAAAGAGGAAGGAAGGGCACCCGTGATTCACACAAAGTCCCCCTGAGCCGCTCCAGAACCAGGTCTCAGGAAAATGGCATTTTGTCTGCACATGTCCGCGTGCTTGCAAAAAGGGACGCGTGCACATGGATATTTTCCCGCTGTTCTCACTTGCCCCAAGCTGGGATTCTTCCCTGCAGCTCCGGTTAACCGCAGACTCACGAAGTCCCAATTGTGGAAGCTCGTCCTTGGAGCAGGGGGCAAAAGCTCAGCGCCGGAGCACTTTTCAAACTAATATTTTATTGTTGAACGGTTGCTCTCTTTGTTTTCGGTTTTTGGTCTTTATGTAATCTTTTATTGGATCACTATTTATAAAGATCCTTTTATTGTTTTTGGATTGTATGTATCGTGAGCCGTCCTGAGATGCCAAGGCATGTGGTGACGACATACAAAAGTTTTGAATAAATACATAAAATAAATAAATCTGGCACTACCGCCTTTCCTCTGATCGGCCAACTGTTTGATGGTTTCCCCCGGTTGCAAAAGACTGGAATGGTCTCCAAGGGATAGCCAAGAAAAGGTTTAACTAAAATGTCTCGCATTTGGGGCCCCTTCTTCGGCCTTTGGTCCCACCCGGCACTGGAACACGGACCGCAAGAGGCTCTCCGAAATGAAACCTGGCTCAAACGGAGAGAAATTCCATACGCTTGCGTTTGAGAAATGCCGGGCACTCCGGTCTACTGGGCACGAAGAGAGTTTGTTGTCCACTAAGCAAAACCTTTGCAAATCATTCATCTCTTGCTGCCAAAACGGGTGCCGAGTTCCACTTCAGGGAAGCTTCGATACCCCCCTGGATTGCTTCTGTCCGGGAGCACTGAGGTTGAGTTTTCAGCTTGCGACTACGGAGATCAGGGTTCTGGCCGCCCCTTGGCCATGAAGCAAAGCCGCGGCTGTAGGGCCAGTCCTGGACTCTCAGCCTAGCCTACCTTGCAGGGCTGTTGGGAGGGAAAACTGAAGTAGAAGAGGAGGTTACAGAAACCACCTCGGGTAGCTTCGAGAACAGAAAAGCTTTCCACTGCTTCTTCCTCATACTCCCCTGGATTGCTTACCCATGAAATCAACTTTTCAGTGAGCGCTAGCATAATTTTCTGCTGCTTGGAAATGTGAGCTTGGCTGCCCCAAAGTTTCCTCAGTCAGGAGACAGGGGTGCTCAAGGAAGAGAAAACATTTATTTCTTCCACTCCAGGCCAATATCTTCCGATGTGGAAAATGCAGATTCAGCAATGCTTCATGACTTTTGCACTGGCTTCTAGTCAATTTCAACTGCTTTCGGACTCATTTCCAGTCAATGCTGACCTTTTCTTTTTGGGGGGGGGCAGGATGGATTGTGCCTGATACAGACCTCATTAAATGGGTGCCCCCTCTCCTTCTCTAACTTTTTACTGCTGCTGCAACTCAAGCAGGGGCTGAGATGCAGAGAGGCAGAAAACCAGGTTCAGTTTAGCTGCCACACATCTAAGGCCGCTATTTGAACGGGTAAATGGTCCCCACTTCACAGCCCAAAGGGGGGGGGATCTACAACCACTTCTGCTATTTAAATACCACGTGAGGGCGGCGGGGGGGGATCCAATTTAACTCCCAGCTGCATCGCAGGCGAGATTGGAGCTGGGTGGGTGGAGAGGGAGAGCGTGCGAGAAAAGCCATTTTGTCTTCTAGCTGCAAAGCTATTTGTCAAGGGACAGACAATCTGGCTGTTCCCATTCTAGTCTTTGCGGAGTCCGATCTCGCACCCCAGGACCTATTTAGAAGCTGGGTCTGAGACCCAAAACATATCAAATCCGGTATTCAGCCCGTTGACATCTATTTCCTCCTCCAGCCACCCGTACCACCTAAATTCCCAAATTATATGCCAGAGCACAGAACGGCTGAATAGGAGAAGTGTTGCGCGCCATGAGAAATACGTGTCTTTTAAGGAAAAATACATAAAGCCCCGGGGATTCCAGAAAGGCCGCAGCTTGATACGCTAATCTGGCTTTATCCTCCATTTGATCCAACTCTGCTAGAAGCAGGCAATTCTGCCTGCATCTCTGTGGTGGAAAAATAGACTCTCCCAACCCCCAGTGCATTAGAATTACCTCCTTTGGCAGAGTGTGCCCGCTGTCTCCCTGGATGAGTCACTGTTCTTAGCTCTCTTACTTTCCAATCAGGAAAGGGGCCCAGATCTGTGACTCGCACAGAAACCCAGCCAAGCATCTCCTCCCAAGGGCAGTGGAGTTGCATGCCCCAACAGCAAATTCTTTGCTGGGCACCACTTCCAGTTTCAAAATCAGGGGTGGAAAGGTCAGGAGACTCAATTACACCGGCAAGCGCACGGCGAAAAAGATCCTAAACTGAACAGGAGAACGAGGAGGTCCCAGGCACTCCAGGCTTCCAAAGAGGGAGCGTTCCCAAGAAAAGCAAATGCAAGGCAAAGGAAATCGATGGGACCACGTAGCCCAGCGTTCTGTTCACAGGCAAAGCTCACCTCTCCCCCTGGCCCAGGTGTAGGAGCGGGTCGTGGGCAGGCCCTTGATGCCCGGCGTGGTCACGGGGTGCGGCCTTGTGGGGGGATCGTGGCTTTTGGGGCCGCTCTTCAGGGGCAAAATGTACTGAGGAAGGCCTTTGTAGAACCAGGCGCCCGAGCGCTTCCAAACCTGCACCGAAAGAGACACCAGAAACGTCATCAGCGGATCGCCAGAGGAGATTAAAAGAAACGCAAGGCGCTAGTCCCTGGAGAACACAGTCACAATTGTCCTGTGATAATGCCTCACAGTGACCCTTAAGAATGAGCCAAAGTTAATGATCGAGGGATTGTCATTAATTAAAATATTTTTTATCAACAGCGATTCACAGAAATGAACGATAGCTAAGCAGAAATGTCAACAGACCACTAATCAATCAGCTGTCAGCTCACCGTGGCTTGACCGATAACACAGGCGGAGGCATCTGATCGGGGCAGGTAATTATTTATCAATAATGAAGACTGGGAATGAACACTGCAGCTGAGGTCTTGTCAATTTAGAAGAGGCATCCGTGCCGATGGGATCCCCTCTTTCTCCAGGCACATGGCGCCTTCTGAGACAGAGCGGATTCCCTAAAAGCAAAGCTTCCCTTTTGCTCCTGTACGATCACTGTTCTGCTCCAAGCAGAGATCCACCTGGATTTTAAAAATCCACAGAAACTCCGCAGCTGAAAGCGGAATAGGCCATGATCTGGTGCAGCAACCAGCATCCGCGGAAGCTTCAGAGAGGTCTGGCGAACAGAGTCCAGAAGGTCACGGGATTTTTGGATTCCTAGATTCAGGGAGCTCCGGCCTGGATCTGGGAATCTGTGATCAAGAGTTGGGGGTTCCTAATCTCAGGATAGCAGAAGCAGCGGGCAGAGCGGCTGAGTGCCAGGACGCGATGGCAAAGGTCTCCACGGACGGCGTTCGACTGTTCCCCAAACAACGCGGCCGGCCAGCAGAACAGAGTATTATTGCAGCAAAGCCGAGACGAAAAGGCGATTGAAGTGAGAAATGGGGCCCGCGAACGCCCTATTGTGATTTTTAATTTTTTATTGTGATAAAAACGCACCGCGGCTACAAACCCAGCCGACGCGATAAAGGCTGTGCCGAGCCTTCCAATTTCGATTTTAATAGCAAGCCTGCCGTGAAGGGAACTTATTAAACTACATTCAAGATATCTGCGCTGTGGCACAAAGGGGAAGACGAGGGGCGGGCACTGACTGGGGAAGGCAAAACAATACCCAAAGACGCGCGATTTTGTTTGGGCCTGAACTAGAAAAGGTGCAGTGAGTCCAGCAGGCATGGATTTGAATGAACAAAGCAAAGGAGATGGCCGAGAAACATCTCAGGCTGAAGATAAAAAGCCTAAGGAGCTTTCCACCTCCCTCCCTCCCTCCCTCCCTGGGGTTGCCCCAGTAAGGAGAAGCATTCACTTCTATGGGGCTAACAGTGTGTATAGCACTTTACACAAGCAAAACAGGAGGTGGTCTCTGCCCCAAGGAACTTACAGTACAAAATTTGACACTGGGGTAACAAAAGAAGTGGAAAGAAAGGTGCGAGACAACGCAGCAAAGGTTTTGTTGCTTCTCTCCAGCACTTGGTTTACTTACCACAGGGATCTGGGGATCCCCAGATTGTTGGGGCTCCCCCTGTTTTAAGCGGCTTTAGAAGTCAAGCCTGGTCTTTCCCACCATAATCAACGGTCTGAGGGGTCAGCCTTCCCCTCAGCAGCCGAAGGATGACCTTGCAAGCCCCTGGCTGCAATCTTGAGAGCTAGAAACTTGATTGAAATGAACAAACGGCGAGAAAAATTGGGATTGCTGAGGATGCTGAATCCTGCACCTAAGCCCACATTTCTACCCTCGCACGGTGAAACGGCAGCACAGGAGGGGAAGGTGGGTCAGGATCCGCGTACAGCCGATGCCCCGCCTTGCTTGGGCAGCGATATTAACAATGCCGTGAGGAACCGGGCTGATGCAGCCCCTGCTCCAAAAGCGGGACAGCAGCGGGATGAACAAGGCAAGTGGGCAAATTAAAGGTGCCCACCGGGAGCTTCACTGTGTGCCTGAACCGAGACATGTGTAGCCTCACATCTCTGAGCTCGCTGGAGGCAGGCAGGCAAGCTAGCTCTGCTCTGCTCTGCTCTGCTCTGCTCCGCTCTGCTCCGGCCTCAGGCAAGATCCAGACGTCTCACGTAACATGGGGAAGGCCCAGCCGTGGCTTCCCGGGTCCCTGCGAGGCTCTCCAGCCGGGCCCGATTCTCTCCTTTCTCGGCAAGCGACTGGAAGAAGGGCCAGGCCCCGCAGGGAGAAGCGCTCTGTCCCCCGTCAGCTCAGGGACAGCCCTGAACCCACCCCCAGCAGTGGGGATGACCCGACACCCCTCTGGCCTTGGGGGAAGCCTCCACGCTTAAGCAGCACAGGGGAAGGGACTTGGCCGGCACTGGGAGAAAGAGCTGCTTAAAAGGCCTGCTTGCGTCCCAAATCTGACGCCAGGAAACGAGACCAACCTTCCACCGGCCAGAGGTTCTGCGTCCCCTAAAGCCCTACTAAGTCCCCGTCTAGCTAAACCGCCGTGGGGAGCAAGCCTTTCTGCCTGGCTCAGCAGGACTCCTGCCCTGCCTCTCCACTCCAGCAGCCAGCCGAGAAACACTTCCTGTCCTTAACCTCACGAATGCAACGCGATTGCTCCGGTGATCAGGACGTGGCCGTAAATGGCTCCCCTTGCCCAGAAGAAAGGCTCGTAAAATGCACAAAAGGAGCCCGCAGAGCTTGGTGCTGCAAACAGGCTGCGCCTTGAATGGCTGGGCCCCAGACGGAAAAGGGGAAGAAGCAGGGGGGCTATTTTGCAATTTGGAAAAGGAACGGAGAGGAGGAGCTGGACGATAAAGGACCAGAAGAAAGAGATGGCGCTGGTGGGGAATCTAGACCACCTCTAGCCCAAGGTGTGGAAAGTGGAGCAGGGGAATCAGGAAACATTTTCTCTGAGGGACCCTGGGGGGGGGGGAGGTTTGACCGGCCTTGACAAAGGGCTGTTGAATAACACCCAGGTCTAAGCTCAACAGGGGAGCAGCTGCTGGGAAAATTTGGATAAATCCTGTCAGAAAAAACATTGCTTCTGTGTGCTTTTGCATTGTGGAATCAATTCTGTCCTTCTTCTCAAACCAAGCTCAGTCACTGCTTAAAATGGCCTTCCTCCCCCGCTCCTTTCTCTCACCTTTAGCTGTAAGCTACGGTAGACAGGCCATTTAGTCCAAATATACATTGTATACCTTCACAACGATTAAATAATAATCATTTGTTGGAATTCACAGTTTCCCAGGAAGTATCTTCCTAGCCCAGAGGGCTCCCTGTGCCCCGGCCATTCAGAAGGGTGCGGATGCATCACTTAGGGTCTGAGTCTAGATGGGCTTGTGAGTTCATGAATAGTTTCTCAGTAGCTTGAATTTACATGTCTAAGCAGACCGGGAGACGGGTTCAAGTTACTCAACTGAAGTGCTGATACACTGCAATTAGAAATATTGTAATCTCATTGTCACTGTACGATTGGCTGATCTGCCTTTATCTGTTCTGTATGTGATGACCTCAGAATCTTACTGTAATCTCTGCATTCTGTCATCAATTGCTCTGTACCTGTGTACTTGACCAGGAACGGTATAAAATACCCTGCAGCTGTATTGAAACCTTGCAGCGAGTTTCCCTCTGCCTGCCAGGTAATGCATTATCGTGAGTCTACCGCAGGAACCTGGGCCAAACAATAAAGCCACAGATGGTCTGAATGACTGATCCTTCCCACGAACCCGAGTTTTATTTCCACCTCACAAATTGAAATTCCAGGATTTTCTGACATCACTCAGCTGGTGATGCGGTAAGGCAAGACTAGACCCACAGAGACCTGGGTTTGGGTCGGAGCCATCCCAGGGCAGGAAGAGGTTCTAGATGATGAGTGTTGGGTCGTTCAGGACCCGGGAGAGCTCCCGGAAGCGCTGGGCAAAGGCAAGGTGAGAGAAGAGAAAGAGGAGGGAAGCGGGGAGAAAGTAGGCAGGCTGGGTATTTCCCATGGGGTTTATTTTTAAAAAATAGAAGGCGAGGAGGGGAGAGTTTTGGGGGGCCCGTTCTCTCAGAGCTCTCCTCCGTTTGGGTCCAAGAAGAGGGTTCAAAGCTGGGGTTTCCCACATGTCGATGCAGGACCAAGGAATAATTGTGTCTTTGTTGGTGAAGGGCTTGCAGGAACTCAGCATGCAAATCACAGCATGCAAATAGCCCGGAGCAACACCGAACGGAGTGGAAAATAGAAGCCGGCTCCCCTTCAAACACCCACCTCTCTTTGCTCGCTGCAGATCTTACAGAACCAGACCGTGCGTTTCTGAGGCCCCAAGGTTTCTATGCCGCATTTCGTGCAAACTTTCTGGAAAAATTAGGAGACAAAAGGAAAGGGGGGCAGTTAACAAGGCCAAGATATCGGGGGCCGGGAACGCCAGCCCCACAGCTGCCGCTCGAAGCACCGAGAGCCTGAAAACCGAGCAGCCGTGCCGTCGGGTGCCGGTCCTTGCGGGTCAGGCCCTGAATTGTTCAGTGGGCGTCCCAAATCTCTGGCAAGCTCTGTGGACCTTTTTATCCACAAATTAAAGGTCCAGGAGCCCTGGGAATTTCTGCCCCCTCTGATCCCTTGGACAGGCAAGCTCGCGGCCCTCGGGAGCTTCTCTCCCTACTGCCCTTCACCCCACAGATCTGGCTGATTAAGGCTTTTCCCTGGAATCATGTGCCTCCCCCTGCCCCCACTTCTCAATATTTAGCAGCCCCTTCGAAATCAAGAAACAGAAGGAGATCCAAGCACTCAGTACCATTTGGGGCACTGGCACTATGCCCCCCCCCCCCAATGAAGCAGCGCCCTGGAGCATTGTGGGAAACGGTGCCCACCAGCTTGCGGAGCATGTGGGGAGAACCCTCTCGGGGCCTGGTGCCAAGATTCACTGTGGAATGCGCTCCCCAGAGAGGTCCGCCTGGTGCCATCGTTATTTGTTTTTCGGTGCCAGGCTAAGACCTTTTTTTTTTCCAGACCTTTTTATTCAAACAATATTTTAACCATGTTTAATATTTATAGGTTTTAATTGTGCAGCCAAGGTGTTTCGGGGTTTTAATTGTATTGTATTATATTTATTGATTTCTGTGAGCCGTCCCGAGGCTATATAGCAAGGGCACGGCATGCAAAACTTAAAATAAATAAATACACCGGCCCTGCCTTCCAGGCAGCTCAGACTGCCGGGAGCAGAGGCGATGAACTGCACTTATCCCGAGGGCCAGATCCCCGTCCAGAGATGCTCGCGAGGGCCTCATTCTGGTGGGGGCTGAAGCCAAAGGCATATTTTAGCTGAAAGTCTGTACCCCCAGGACATTAGCCCTAGAAGAGGCTTTTCCCATTTAGAGTTAGATGGGGGGTGGGGGCAGATGACACACAGCCATTAAACCCCCAAATAAGTGGAAGCCATAGGAAAGGGGCAGACCCACAGCGAGCGGGCATGTCCCGCCGTGGAGCCCCAGGGAAGGGGATCAGGGGCCCAGTGCGCCACATCTGGCCCTTGAGTCTGTGGTTCTGCAGCCTTCGTCTAGAGCTGGGCAAATATTTAGGTTCTCCGGGCAAAAACGGCAGCGGGAGAGCCCCCCGCTTAACGTAAGTGGGCACCAGCCAACACCCCAGCTTTCCAAGCTCCGGCTTGTGGCATTAATCAGCTCTTCTGAACCTGGAGAAAAAGCTGAGCAAGTCCAGAGAGGCTGATCTGGGCGAAATTAAGAAATCCTTCAGAAGGGAGGGAGGGAGATGTCGGGGGAAACAGCCAGCGCTCGGTAAGAATAATAAAAAAGAGCACTCTTAAAGCGAGCAGGGCGTCTTTCTCGCTCAGCGGTGGCAGTGGCTGGGAGGAAAAATTCAGGGCTCTTGATGGAACCGGAGCAGCTGCAGATGGTGCTAACAGCCATTGATCAACTCCAGGAGGGCCGGCTAGCCCATTAACAACAGACGGCCAGGCGGAGCCTCGGCCGGCCAACCTGGCGACAAAAGCCACGCGAGCCGCCGGCCAGCCTGCGCCTGCAACAGCTCTTGGCGTGCAGCCTTTGTCTGCAGGATTCTGGCTGTCCAAAAATGTCCCTCCTCGGCAGGCTCCGCATTTGGGTCCGCTCTGTGCGGGGCTGGAATTAAAACTGTGTCTCCGGGACCCATTCGGCTGGCATTCCTGCGGGGTGGGGGGCGGTCCAGACTGAGCCGGGCAGCTGTGCTCAGCATCTGGTGATCCAGGACTCCGGCTGCAGCATCCCAGCCCGGTGCCCATGAATCCGGACATGGGAACATGGCTCTGCCCCACTTCTGAACACGGGAGAAACCGCTCGCAAACGGCAGCCGCTTTTTCTCTGCAGCGGCTGCTTTAAACACACCCACGGATTGTGGAGAGGAAGGGAAGAGCACCGGAGGGCAGGGAAAGCCACTGGGTTCTACCTGGAGCAGCAGGTGCGGCACCTTTTCCCAGCCCATCCACGCCCACCTTTTTTACCCCAGGTTGGTTTCTGCCATACACCTTTGAACCGAAGCCCGGCACCTTCACCGAGAACGAAAACGGCACATGACGGAAAAGCATTCGGTGTGTGAGGGGCAGACCCGAGCTCAGCCTGAAAGCTCGCAAACAGGCTTGCTGGGAGGATGAAGTGCCGGGGAATCTGTTCGATGGGGCCTTCTCTGTGTTGGCATCCCGATTGTGGAATTCGCTCCCCAGAGACGTTCGCCTGGCGCCATCACATTATTCTTTTCGGCACCAGGCTAACCCCTTTTTATTTTCCCAATATTTTAAGACCTGACGGTTTTAAGTAGGGTTTTTATTATTGCTAAATTTTAGAATGCTGTGTTCTAATCAATTTTTTTCTTTTCTTACATTTGATTGTTAAGCAGTCCTGAGACTTCAGTAATGGGCCGGTCTAGAAAAGTTTTAAATAAATAAATGGAAGAAAAAGGGGTCAACAGGGAAACGCCAAGAGGATTCCCATGTGGAACGTGTTAATAACTGCGTCAAAGCAGAGAACTGTGTGGAGCAATAATTAGGGCCCCTCAGTTAGAAGTGTGGCCCCGAAATGGACATCACAGGCCATGAGGTTCCCGCCACCAACACCTGCCAAAGCAATTGTTCACCTGGCACATTTTCCCTGGGCAGTGATACTCCAGAAACACAAGCTGGCTCAGCCCTAAACTCTGTTCTGCACCAGCCACCTGCCGTGAGTTTTTCCTTTCGAAACCTTATCACCATCCTTACATCCAACATGGGATCCCAGAGCCGTGTTTACAGTAGGAAAAGGAGTGGGGGAAATCCAATTACAGAAGCTACGCGTTAAAAGATAAATGAAAACCAGCAAAGCAAATGCAACTCTTCAGCCAGCAAAGCAAATAAACAGGCAAGCGATCAGTTTTGTTTAAAAGTGGATGGTATTTTGGTAGCGAAATTCTACATGGCCCAAATGCCCGGGACAAAAGGAATCTTTTTAAGTTGGCACTGAAAAGAGAGCTAGATTTGTGCCCACTGGTTCTCCGTTGGGCGGCCATGTTGATTACCCAAAATGCAGTGCCAGATCTGATGAGAACATCGGCTGAGGCAGTGGGGCAGCTGGCCGACACTGATCTCTCATGCAAAGTGATTGCTGGAGGCAGCGCAAGGTTCTAGTCCCTGCTGAGCCATGGAGCCCGCTGGGGGACACAGCTGACCTCCGAGTCTGGGCTCGAGGGCCCCTTTGGTCACATCTGTGGGCTAGTCACCAACTCCCAGCCTTACAGGGTTGTTGTGAAGCTAAAGGAGTGCAAGGAAGAGCTTAAACAGCCCTGGCAGGTGTTTAGCAAGAGGGAAAATGGCAGGATATTGAGGCAAAAATAAAGGAAAGCCGAGCGAAAAATACGATTTGCTAACCATTCCAACACCATCCTGCTGCCAATTCGAATTTGCAAAACCTTGCAGCTCTCTGTTGTTTGGAAAAATGAAGCCTTACCGCTTTCCTCCCATCCCACAGGAATTGATATTTACGGCTTTCAAAATATTCCATCTCCAAACAGCTTGTACAGTCAAGGACTCCTCCTTGTGGCCATTGGTGCCATTGCCCAAGAATATTTAAATAATTGCATTGCCTTTTTAAAGGGTTAATTTGAAAGACTAAAATCTCCGTTATCCTTCCAATATCGCCAGGAAAGATGCAATTATCGCTTTTCCCTTTGATCTGAAGTGTTGGGAGAGGAAGGCCAAGTCTGCAGAGAGGATAACTTGCAGATATTTAAAATGTTTTGCTGTTGGGTTTTTTGTTCTCTCAAAATTCTAGATTTACATACCAAAGAGAAGGAAACAAAAAGGATCCATAATTACGGCTGACGAATTTATCCCCAGCTCAATTAATATCAGCAGATTTGGCATATACGGTTGTTATTTTAATGACTTGAAGGGATGTGGAAGGGAGAGGGACAAATTCTGTGCATCTTTTGGTTTCTCCGTTTCTGCTTTTTCCTCTGTTTTTGGTTTGTTTTCTCCTGCCCAATTTACTCAGCCATCAGAGCATTTTCATTTCCACTGCCCTTACCAGAAAACCCCATTCTGGGGCAGAAAGCAATGCAGGCAAACCAGGGTTAAGCCATGGTTCTGCATTCAGACATCACAACAAGCCATGGTTTAAACAAGCCAGACTTCACAAGCCAATGACCAGCCAGGGCTTCTCTGAGTTCTTTGCAGCTGGACAGTAAAACCAGGGTCTGTTTCAGACACAACAAGCTGAGCTTCGACAAAGCACATTCCAGAAAGCCGGGGTGGTCTTGCGGTTGAGACGGGCTCAGGCAGCTCAGGCAGAGTAGGAAGGTCTTGTTTCCCACCTTTGACTCCTCAAAGATAAAATGGTGGGACATCCATCCATGCATCCCAAAAGGGATGCGCACCTGGGCCATATGTATTTCCATACCTGGGCCATATGAAATGCTTCCTCAGATCTCAGTCTATTTCAGATCTCAGTCTATTTTCCTCCCTCTCAGTCTATTTCAGACAAGAAAGTGAAGTGAAAAAAGAAACAGCGGCTCAGGTGTAGGAAATCAGAAATAATGTTTTTAGAATGGGTTCTCCTTCCTTCCTTCCTTCCTTCCTTCCTTCCTTCCTTCCTTCCTTTGCCCTTTGTAATTCCTTCCTCGCAAGCCCCATCTTGCAGCCGGATTAAAAGAAGAAGAAGGGAAAGGCCTGGAAGTACCGCACCGAGCTGTCAATTTGAGATCAGTTCCCTGGGTAATTTCAAAGCACTAAAACGCTTTCCCTGAGCCACCAAGCGTGAAGGAGACTTGCCGTTAGCGAGCTAAATGGAGTTCCTGATGGGAGGGCAGTGGAGCAGGGTCAGAAAAGAAAACCAGGACTCTGTGTGTGCGCGCGCGCGCGTGTGTGTGTGTGCGCCAAGACAGATGAACAGGGCCACCGAAGGAGTGGCCGAGATCAATTTCGGCAGGACTGAGGGTCCGCCGTTCAATTTCATGAAGAAAAAAGCACCTATTTCCTTTGGCATCGCTGCTGTTTGGCAAACGACGACTCGGCTCTGAGCAAAGGCTGGAAATTCCGATGATTTGCACATTTTTACGGCATGGCTTACACCGGCTGTGCGTTTCTATATGCGCCACCGGGTTCTAGGCTGCTGGTTTGGGCTTAGCAAGGATTACACAGCTCAGGACCACGAGAGCTGACAAAACCTCTCCCACCGGCAGCCTGCCTGCAGGCAGCTTTTCCAGCAAGAGAAAGGCCTGGTTCTTCCTCAGACGGCAGGCAAGCGGGACACAGCCTTTTTGGTAGTGGCTCCCCGACTCTGGAACTATCTCCTTGCAAGGGCTGCCAGCACCAGGGTTGTTATCTCTGATCGCCTAAAACGATCACACGGAGCTTGCCAAGAAGCCCAGTCGGACCCTCTCTGCACTCCGTTGTGCTCCAGAAGATATTTCTTTTATTTAGAGGGATTCATTTCAGGCTAGGGAGACTGCGTCCCCCAAGGGGGTCTGGGAGGTAGAAGTGGCCCCTGGACCTCCTGGAGTTGCCCGCCCCGGTTCTGCACGGAGGGACGGCAGGGCAGGGCAGAACAGTGCTCGCTTTGCGAGGTAGACATTTCCGCGTCTTTTCTCCGCTAAAAGGGGTTGGTGGTAGGAAGTGCCTTTCGCTGCCGGAGATTCTGGAAAGTTGGGGCTGGCCAGAAGAGAAAAATCAGGATTGTTTGGAGAAATGGCTGGACATGACCCCAGATGCCACCTCACCGGGGCTGCTGCTCATAAAACCCCTTTAATCACAGTCGATTGGGTTTGGCGCATCTCTCTGCTCAAATACATCCATCAGATGCATCTGTTGTCCTACAAGCACAACCTCTGCCCTGGGCGTGACCAGCGGTGTCTCAAAGCGCAGCGCACCATTGAAAAAACAAAAACAGAAAAAGCTTCTAGCCCTCATGACCGAAAGGACACCACTTTTTGGAATGGCGTGGGGTTCGTGATGCTGGAGGTGAGGAAGCAGGGCAGGGATCGCAAGAACTGTTTTGCAAAATCCCAAGCTACGACTTGCCTGAATGTCGGGTGAAAGCAGGCCTTTTGCAAAGGGGGAACGCTCCATACAAAATTCCAGCTGCGGGAATGGTGCGTCTCTCTTAGCAAAGGGAATTTGAGTGGGAGAGATGATTTCATGGGGGTGGGCTTGACTTCATCCCCCCCCACATGCTCCAGGGGCTTCATCCAGTCCCCAGTCCAACAGGGGATTGCTTTCCCTCCATATCAAATACGCTCCATCTACTTAACCAGCGTGATGTCTGCAGATTGCAGAATTTGGCCTTTCCTGGCATGAGATTTAAAAAGATAGAAGCACAGAGGGTCAGAAGGAGTCTCCTGGGTCATCTAGTCTGACCCCCGGCTCCACTCATGACATTTGTTTTGCCCTGGGTTCAAGGATGCTCTTTTTGGGAAGTTCTTTCAAAATCAAGGCGAGGCACTGGGTGTAGTCAGTCCAGAAAGGACAGGCATGGCATTAGGGTTCCCTGGGGGGACAGCCGAAGCTCTGGACGCCGGCGGGGGCAGGGGGGGCTCACCTTTTTGCAGTCCTGGCAAAACACAGCCGTGCTCCTCAGCAGCCCCAGGGACTCCCCACAGAGCAAGCACTGAGATAAGCCGTTGCCCATCACGTTCTTCCGCATGTTCTCGAGCCGCTCCACCAGACGCCTGCGAAGGAAAACCCACGATTTCTCTACCATCCAGGTGCTGAATGCGGGGCTCCCCAGAAGGCCACGCCCCTTCCCCTGACCCCGCCCCTTCCCCGGGACCACCAGTCATCCAGCACTTTCCTGGATTTTCTGCGGCATTCCCCCCCCACCCCCAGTCCCTAAAAGAAGGGGATGTTTCTCCTAAGGACTAATTGCAGGAAAAGCCTGGCATTACAACAGGCTTCAGGTCCTGCCTGGTTTTCTTCTGGCCCCGCCCCTCTGCTTTCAGCCCCGCCCACTGCAGGGAAGGCCCCGCCCCACCGTTCCCCCAATTAAATTGGACCCTCGGCCGAAAGGGGTTTGACACCTGGACCACAGGAAGAAACATGAGCCAAGCCTTTGGAGCAACGCAGGATCAGGCCTGGCTGATATCTGGATGGGTGACTTGATATTGTGAACTTTATTTATTAATAAATAAATGAATATTGTGAACTGCCCAGAAAACTTCAGGCATGGGCGGTTTAGAAATGTTGTGGTTGTTGCTGTATTGTTGGTGGTGTTGGCTGAACCAAAGATATGGGGCAAGAGCAGAACGAACATCACCGGGTTCCTAGAAGCCTCCGGGCAAGAGAAGAGGTCATGCAAGCGGCAAGAGGAATTTGGGGCGCTCGGAACAGTTCTGGCACCCTGGGGGCGTCAGGCGCCAGTGCAGCGTAGGGGTTCGGGTGTGGGGTGCGACTTAGGAGGCACGGGTTCCAGCCCCCCTTGGCCATGAGGCCCACCGGGTGACTTCAGAGCCACTGCCAACGCCTTGACCCCGGCCGACCTCACAGGGCTGTTGGGAGGAAACCCGGTGAGTGGATTCGGGTCCTTGCCAGGAGAGAATAATAATTGGGGAAAATCACACCGCTCCCATCCACACCCCGTGCTCACTATTGCGGGGCACTGGAAGGGCCGGATTCTTATTTAGGCTTGGCTGAGTTTTTTCCCTCTGGGCATCCTCAGCTGCCCAGGGAGAGGAAAGCTGAGACAGCAAAGCGAAGCAAGGAAAAGCTCTCCCAAATCGCAGGAGGCCCCCCGTACCCGATCCGCTGTTGTTCCACAATGTCCAGTTTCTCCGCTCGCTGGATCACCTCCAGAATGACGTCCATTTCCTTCAGACTCAGCGCTTGCGTCTTCCTCTGTTTGTCTGTCTGGAACGTGTGCACCGACCAGCCGGTCTGAAGCCTGGACGGGAAGGACCGGGAGAAGAAGAAAAGCAGGGCTGAACCCATGCCAAGGACCCTCAGCGCCCCGGCTTTGCAGGGGGGGTTCCTCTCCCTGAAGGGCGGCCCCCCTGTGAATCTGCGGCACCCAAAAGCAAGACCGACCCTTGGGGTACCCCAAAAAAACCCACCAAGCCATTTACCCAGCCCGAAATCTTCAAGGACACCCTCTCCCTCACCCCAGCATCCACAGACACTTCTACCAGAACAGATACAAACCGTTTGTCGCCGTCTTAATATCTCATTTATCGGGTTTTGAAGCTATTTGTCTGCTTGGTGGTTAACTTTATATGCTCCTGTAAAACGTTCAGCTAAAAGCACTTCCAAGAAATGCGATATTGAAACAGCCGAGCTCACAGCTGCATCGGCTTGAGTTATGTTTTAATGCTTTACTAGGTGGTGTTACTATTTAGTCAAAACGTGCATGTTTTCCCTCTTCTGTATTTATTTGGAAGGTGGTTTACAAACAACAGAATAGGGGAAAGAGACGCATGGCCAGGGAGACTGAATGGGGAAAGAACGATTCAATCAAGAAGAGGTGGGGGTTTCGTACTTTTTTCTTGGAAGAAATAAATAGAAATCCAAGCAATCTGGTTTCTAATTTAGAATTTTGCAACCTTCCAGAAGGCAAGTGGAGCAGAGGAAAAGGGTGTACAGGGCGGCAGTCGGTGGATGCCCTTTTTCCCTCCTTTCAGCCATACCTAAGAGCTTCCTACGTAATTAAATTTCCAGCCGAGCAGGAGATAACGAAATCACACCGGGCCACGTGTCCCGGCCCTGTCGCGAAAGGCGCAGGAGGCCAGCTGGGAACGGAGCCATGAATTACGAGGACAGTGAGGGTCCGCCTGCCTGCTCGCCATCCCACGCCCCCGCGTATAAATCTGAAGTTTAAGCGCTCGTGCTGGGATTAACCGCAACCATCTTCCCCAGGCTGGTAGCTCACAGCTGGGCGGGACAGCAGTTCCCAGCATCCGCCCCAACCAGGCCTAGGCTGCCAAACTGGGGAGAGCCGAGGGAAAATAGGAAAATGTTTTTGCGTGGAAAGAATGCAGCGTCTGTTCCGGTATGGAAGGCAAAACCCTGAGCAGCTGAGGGTTTAGATGCACCCTTTCCCTCCCTCCCTCCCTCCCCAGCCTACCTCTGTTAGGGCAGAAAAAAGTACTACAATACCCAGCATGCCACGCCAGCTGCCAAATGTGGGGACGCAGGATATTTCCTCTGTCGAAACACGTCCGAGATCGTATCCTAGGCACACTTCCCGAGTCACAATTTATTTGTTTATTATTTAAAATATTTATATGCCGCTTACCCTGCCTGCGGCATCTGTAGGTGGCATATCATTGGAGTCTAGGCTGTAGACCTCATAATTAGCAAAGGGAGAGCAGACTTGCAAATCTGCCTCACCACATTGAGGGTGACCCTGTGTCTTCCTCTATAGAGGACTGCTCTCGATCTGAAGGCATTGAAGTAAATCATCTTATAAGACAGGAGAGTGGGTCTCCTGCTTGAATTAAGCGTGGCGCTGCTATAAATTGTTGGCATTTAATTAAAATTAATAAATTGTTTTTTCTGTCTAAACATGCCTCGGATTGCACTCTTCGTTCTCGGGAGTTTAATTAAACGACAGCCAGTTTTCGTGGGCTGAGCTGCTCAGATTTAGTCAATTTTTTTCTCTATCTCTCTTTGCACTAATAAACAGGATTCACAGCGGGTGTCCAATTCTGATTTAAAGATTAAAAAGCAATGCAACCATTCCCCATCTGTTGGATCAATGAGATAAATAAATTTGTGCCGGCGATCCATTCCAAGTATGCAGGTGTGAATATACACACATTTTGTGCGGATGGGTCTCCTCTATTCTAGCAATGCTTCGGCAGCGATTTCGCTTCCCAGAAAAACTCAGTTTCTGCTTCTTATCCAGGAAGTACAGGCAATTCTGTGCTGACTCCCCACTCAACCTTTCATTAGTTAAAACCAGAGATACGGAGGAAAATTTGGCATCACCTTATCTAGCAAATAAGCTGCAATTAGCTAGACGGACAGAGCTTCTTGCAAAGAACAACAGTTCTCATCATCCACAGCCAAGAAGCCCCAGAATCCGGCAGTAAAAATGAAAGCTCCAAAATTATTTCCTTGCAAATAAAGCTGTTCATACCCACACGGTCCAACGGGGAAAAGCTTTTGCACATGTCCTTCTGGGCTTGCCCGGTTGCCTGTGCCCCAATTTGAGGAGCACCCGGTTTTAAAATTTCCCACAATGTCTTGCAGCGATGTTGTGCCAGAAGCATCGCAGGGAATTTAAAATGGCGGCTTCAGCTTGCCCTGTGCTGACCGCTTTTACTGATGAGATTTTAAAATCTGAATTTGCAGTGTACCATGCGAGTAAATTGTCCCTACCAAGGTATCTAGCATTAACTGCACAGTGAAAAAGAAGGCGCAAGGCTGAGAGGATGGCCCAGGGCCGGCTGGATTTCACTGGGAAATGTGAATAATTTTCCTCTTCCCTCCTCATCGCTTTTTCCTTGTGTGTCGTGCCTTTTTTAGATAGTAAACTTGTGGGACGGTTGCTAATTGAGTCAAAGTTTCTCCAAGTGGAATTCTTTTTGGCTGAGGAGCATGATATAAATACTTTACAGAGATAAATCATAAATTATAACCATAGGGCAAAAGGGGAAGGCATTGAGAGATACATACTTGGCCCGGAGGGCCAGCTGCCGGTCATTCGGACAGACCCACTGGTCACTCCCATTGCCAAAAATGGTGTCAGACATGGTGATGGATTGCACAGGTGACAAGCGGCATCAAACCTGCAGGAAAAAGGTTTTAAAATAGAAATAATGATATTAACATTAAGCAGGGGCCAATGATTCCTCAAAGAGCAAAGGAAACTTCATGGTTAAGTCCTACAATTTCCCACCTTCAAACCGGCTGCCCCGATCTCACCCTCCAAATTGGGCAATCCACAAGCTTAACACCTGCTGTCTCCTGTTCTTCATGGTGAAGGCTAAACAGAACAGCAAAATAAAACAGCTAAATGGAGCCTCCCTGTTCAGAAGAAGTCTATCCCCAAATTCCAGTCAACGGAACCAGAGGGGAGAAGTGGCAACTGGCAAGCCCCTTCAGGGACCAGGATGCTGGAAGACCACAGAGCTTCGGTCCAGTCCAGCCAGACTCCCAGGAGCAGAAAAGAGAAGGAAAGCAGCCAAGCCGTGTCAGGAGAGACACCTGCCTCTTGCTGACCCAAAACCATCAACATAATCTTGCATTTTAAATATCGCGACGCACGTGCGTTCGGCATTTGGCTTTCTTGGAGTCTGCCACCAACATGCGGAGAGAGACTGTGCAGAAGGCAGCTGGTTCTGTCCATAAAAAATAAAACCAGCTGAGAGAGAAAAAAAGCGCAAGGCATCCATCGACCTACACATGCTAAAAAGCCCATTTCCCTGCCCCCTGGGGCTGCGTTCCCATAAGCGGCGCCTCCGTGGGGACCATACGGTCCCCACTGCGGAGTCGGCCCGTGCTGCCTGTTTTCCCACGAGGGCGGGAGCTGCGAAAGAGCCGGCGTGGCCTCGGCCACGTCTTAGACGTGCTGGGGAAACATAAGTGCTTATCTTGCCACCTGGGGCTTTCCCAGTGCGTGGAGAGGAAGTGGGACAAAAGCGATCCCGACAGCCCACGGGGTCCCAAACCCGGGCGAGGTTTGTGTCTGTGCTTCGAGTCCGAGCCTTCCTGGATGCGGCCCAGCAGCCGGCTCGAGACGCTGGCACAGCGAGGCTGGGTGTTGAGGACTGGCTGCTTCTGGCCTGGCCTGCTTTTGGTTGCCAGCTACCACTACGGTGCGGCCCGGGGAGCTTGCTCAATGCAGAATCCGGCCCTCGGGCGGACGAGGTTCCCCACCCCGGCTTCAGGGCTCTAGGTTTGCATGCACTTTCTCCGGCTCTGCAGTTCCCAGTGAAAGGGGGTCCCTTGCCTGCAGGCCACTGACCCCATGCATCCATGCACACAATTTATTTATTATATTTATATCCCACTTTCCCCCCACAATGTGCCGGACTCAGTGCTGCTGGTTCAGCTCTGTTTTTCAAGCCTTGGTGGCTTGTTGCCCTGCAGTTTACACAAACTGAATGTTAGTGGGTTTTCTCTGGAGAAGAATCTGCCCAACAGGCTGGCCGAAAGCCCCTCATAATTTATGCCCATTTTCCTGACTGAGAAGACTGAGGCCAAGATGCTCTCGCGCAGGCTATACCCAGGGACCTGAAGGTGAGGCCCTCGCTTTTCTCCGCGAGTGATTTCAGCCAAAAGGCACACACAAATGCCCACAATCCCCCTGCTCTGCAAAGTCATGTGATGCTGACGGGCCAATGCAGTGTCACCAGCATGTTTCCCAGGCTGCCCTGGCTGCCACACTTAGTCTGAGCAACTCCAGTCTGGCAGAAAGGCATTCAAGCTCCCCTGAGTACCTCCAGATTTGCTTAGGCCGAGCCTAAACATCCCAAGAATTTGTGGCTCTGTCTGGACTAGCAGAGCTGCAGTGCAGCATCTTCAGCCTTGCAAATGCCAGCATCCCTTTTCCTTTCTTTATTTAAAAAAAAAACCAAGCTGCTAGTCCTTAAGGCTGCATAAACAGGCTCAAATAGATACACTCAGGCAAATATTTATTAGGTGCCAAACAAGACACAATGGGCTTGGACTAAGGCGACCCGCATTCAAATCCTGCTGTTTCCACAGCCCAACTGTCCCCTTGCAAGCCTATTTCTCCCTCTCCCATGCTTGGCAGGAGATTTGGGGTGAGGGGGGCAGTTATTTTGTGCCACTCCAGTACACCATTGACTACAATTACCCTCATTTAAAAACACACACCCAGTTCCTTGTCAAACAAGAAGAGTTACAACAAAACACAAACATCAACACAACTCTGAAGGTACCTAAAACATACAGAGAGGAGCAGGGACGGGAAAATCGGGGAAGGGAAAGTGCAAAATTTTGCAAGACAGCCTCTCTCCCTCCCCCAGTTCTGCCCCATGGCAAAATCGCCCAACGCCCCTCCTGCACACAAGGCCCCGAACGCGGGGGGCACACAGCAGCGATCCCTAATTTAATTAATTTCTCGCAGCACGGCGCTGGCGAGCCCTGGCTGTATTCAATTAGCCGGAGGCCTCGTTTCTGTCACATCAGACGCCTTTCCACCGATGGGGGACGGTTCCGTTAATGGAAAGAAGAAAGGTACCTTTTCCGCCGGATGGCAGGTGGCAGGGTGGATTTTTTTAAATTGGTCACGTCTTCTGGGGGGTACCAATTAAACAGGACTTTGCCTGCCCATCCGGCCTGATTCCCAAGAGATCCGCGCCCAGACGCGCCGGAGTCGGGCTCCAGGCCTGGTTTTGCACCTGTCCGCAGTGCCCGCCTGGTGCCATTACCTTCGACTGACTACGGAGGAGAAACCCTGGCAACCTGGAAAAACAGCACCTTCGGTTGCCATGACAAGGTAGCAACAACCAGGAGTGGAAGATAAGAGCTAAGCCCAGATGCGTCCTGCTTCCGTGGGAACCGGCCAGGACCTGACGGTGCCGCTCAGAGACCTCCGCTGGTGCCGGGCCGGCAAGCGGGAGAGTTGCTGCGCGGAGGGGCAGAATACCAGGCCAAGCCAGGGAGATTCTGCCCCCCAAAAAGCCGTGCATGGCCCCCCAAATTTCGCTCCGCTGTTTCCCCCCTTATCCCAAAGAGAACCAGCCACGTGCGCTGCGAGCACAAGGCAGCCTTCGCCCGCATTCAGCTTTCAGTGGGCTGGTCCTGCTGGAGCGACCGCTTTTCCCCTTCCAGAGCTGCCCGGTCACCCTGTGAAGGGGGCTCCTGAGCATGCACAGATGACCTCGTCCTCACCACGAAGGCCTCTGCCCATGCTCGGCCGTTCACACGACCCTCCAAAATGGCATTGGACCCTGGGTTCAAAAGGGGCACTAAAGCCTTGATTTTATTCCTGAACTAACCTGGTTCTCGAATGTTTGTAACAGGGATGTCACCCCTTGAATGCCAAGATTCAGGGATGAAATCGGATATATCTAAAAATACAGACTTTGCAGTCTGTTCTTTTAAGGGTTTTTTTAAATTATTCAGCTAAGTCCTTCTAAGAGCAAATTCTGCCAATGGAAAGTTATCAGCATATCTGAGGAATTTATTTAGAACTTTTCTATACCATCCCAGACTTAAAAGTCTCAGGACGGTTTACTAACATGTGCAGAAAGAAGAAAATCCATGAAACTACACGGACAGGAAATTTGATTCAGAAATCACCCTGTTTGACTCCTTTCTCCTTAGACACCCAGGTGCTTTGGACTACAACTCCAAGCAAAATGTCAAAATGGCGGAATGAGTCCCCACCAGACTTCTCCCTTCGACTTTCAGCAAGCTGGTGGCCTTCACCTGTGTCGGACTAGAAATCACATCATCCACATTCCCAGCATGCTGGGAGTTGCAGACCACCGCATTTGGAGGTGGCTAAAAACCAAGGAGACCCCACTTAAATCCTCTCGCAGCCGTGGGACTCATGGGGTTACGTCGGGCGCAGGTAGCAGTCACAGCCCAGCCTGGCCTACTTTGCAGGGCTGTTTTGAGCCTAAATGGCAGGAGGGGTGTTTGTATCCCATGTGCTCCTCAGGGGAATGGCAGAACACAAAACCATTCAGTATTATTTTGAAAAAGTGAATCTGGCTTCATCGCTACAGATGTCTAATATAATAATTCTCTGTAATAATTCTTTTTGGTTGATCACATAACTTGCTGGACTTGTTTAAAAAAGTACATTCATTCCTTTAATTGGGCACTCAGGCCCCCACCCCCACCCCAATAGACACCCATCTCCTTTTAATCCGTAGCTTTCTTGAGGGGGGAGGTCTTTCAGCGGCCATCTTCTTTTCCCACAATGCCCTGGGTGTAACATCACTCAGGGCCATTGTGGGAAAATTAAAATGGCTGCTTCAAGGCGCTTGAAGCCAGTCACTGGGGTGGAGGGACCCCTCGGCTAAGCCCCTCTTCCTACACCTGGAGCTGTCTGTGAACTGGCCAGCCCTGTTTCAAGCATTCAGAAATAAACAACTTTTTCCGTTTCCGAATTAAGGACAGGAAAAGAGACAGACCTCTTCTGCAAAGCATCACTAAATCCGGAGAAATTGGGGACGGCACCCAATTTAGACCCCCGCTTTAAGCACCCTCTTGCCCCAAGACCCCTGCCATTATCCTGACTGCAAAACCGCTTTCCCACAACATTTCTCTGTGCCAAACTGGGCAAGCAGCAACAGGTTTCGGGCCAAGGAGGGGGTTTGGTTCAGAAAGAATTAGGCAAGCTGGGCACATCCTTTTTTTTGCTTTAAAGGTCTTCCCGCTTTAGCAGTGTCCTGAATATTTCCTTTTTAAACCCGCCGGAGCTTTTTCGAAAACAAATGCGGACCCCGGCAAGGCAAAGTTGAGGAAGGAGCATTTTTAAATGACTGTCACGGGCAGCTTTGCGCTCAGACTCACCGGGGGCGACAGCAGGTCGCGGCGCGGGTGGATCCCGCCAGGCAGCTGGGGGAGAAGCGCGATCCCCGGTGGGAAAGCGATCCAGGGGGAGCCCAAGGTGTGCTCAGACCTCAGACATTACTCAGACTTTAAATAAATAAGGTGCCAGGAAATAGCAGCTGCTGCAGCTGCAGCTAAAGCACGAGCTGGATTTATGGAGACGGAGCGCAGCTGCTCGCCAGGCGAGGACGCCGAAGACTGGAGAGGAGGGAGGGGGCGGTTATTCACCCCCCCTGTTGGGGGTCCCGGGGGGGGAGAAGACGGGGCTGAGCAGATCCGGGGCTGCAGGAGAGGAGGCAGAAGGGCAGGGGGGCAGAAGCAGCCCTGGGGAGGGAAGGAAACGCGGCTTTGGCCTTTGCAAGTTTTGCTGGAACTGCAGTTCGTTCTTGCTTCCGTTCGCAAGAAAGCTGGATCCAAAGAGAGCAAAACCAGTCAGCATCGCTTCTTTTTAGATTTTCGTTTCCTTTTGCCAAGGCAGAGCAAAGGCGATCGATGCTTGCAGCTCAGAAATGTTCGGCCCTGCAATTAGGATCATTACGTTACATTTGTATCCCACCGTTTTCCTTTTGCAGAGCTTCGCTTCCTCCTCCTCTCCGTTTTATGCTCACAATAACCCTGTGAGGTAGGCTTGGATGGAAGGCAGTGACTGGCCCAAAGTCGCCCTGCGAGCTTCTGACAAAGTGGGGACTGGAATCCTGCTCTCCCGAATCCCAGTCCAACTCTAACCACTACACCACCCTGTCATCGATCTTATGAGATTCCCCTTCCGACAGCCACACATCTTACATCTGCCCTGAAGCACACATTGCAGATTTTTCTTCTTCATCCTGACCTCCACCATTCTGTTTTGCAACACCTTCTGCATGTCAAACCTGCTTTAAAATAATAATAATATTCTGGGCTTATGCATCTTAAGGCCACTGAAGTTACTACAGCCCCATCCACAGGTATAAAAGCAATTTTCTGCTGATACACTCGGGGCGAGGGAGTCTGGTGTCCCTTGTTTTTTTAACATTTTTCTACTTTCAGCACAGTCCTATGTGTTTTTGAAGCTAAAAGATGGTGCTATCTAGAGGGAGGGGATTCTGCACATGCTCAGAGATATTCTGCCTTGATGCCTTTGGGAAGGAAGGGAGGTAAGTAGGTAGGTAGGTTTCCTGGAGGGAAGAAAAGAAACTTTTCTTCAGCTTTCCTCAACCTGGTGCTTTTCCAAACCTGTTTCACTACAAAGATCGACATCCTTTAGACAGGATGCTGGTGGGCTGTAGTCCAGCATGCCTGGAAGGCACAAGCAGAGTAAGGATTTATTCATTTATTTACTTATAAAATGTGTATGCCGTCCAATTTATTTATTTATTTATTAAAACATTTTTATGCCGCCCCATTCGCCGAAGCCTCGGGGCGGCTTACAACATAGATAAATTGACCATCCACACTGGCTGCAAATTAACAAAATACAACAATAACATTCAATATTAAAACATATTAAAATAGAGATTAAATAAAAAGGTCTTGACCTGGCTCCGAAAAACATATAATGACGGTGCCAGGCAGACCGCTCTGCTTTACATGTCCAAAAACCTGCTGTCCGTGACTTCATCCCGACTTTTTTGGGATGCCTGCAGAGAAGAAGTGCTTCCATCCAAGGAAAGGTTGCTTAAATTCGGATGCAATTTTTTAACAACTCCCGGAGAAGCGGGAGAGCCTGTTTTTTAACACCCGGCCTCAGATAGGATTAGTATAGAGGGGGCTCCGGAGCTGCAACTGGCTGGAGGAAAGGGTGGAGAAAAATATTTCCGCCCTGCAAATGAATTCCCCCGCCAGCTTCCGTTCCCCCTCATGGACACCCCTGCTGGGCCCGGCTTCCCGTCCTTCGCCCATGCGGGCTCTTCCCCCTCAAAATCAGGAAGGGGGAAGCGGAAATTCCCCCTCAAAATCAGGAAGGGGGAAGCAGAAATTTCACCCGGGAAGAGGCCGGAGGGGAAACGCTCCTCCCCACACAGGTGTCGGGCCTGTTGCATTTTGGACCAGGCGAAATTGCCTGTTGCCATGGCAGCCCTCATCTCTGAAGCGCCCCCATCCAGGCAGAGAGATGGAGACGGATCGCCGAGGTGAACGTGGCAGCACCTTTCCACTGAGATAAGGCGGTTGGTTAGGGTCACCGGCGGATTAAAACCCCTCCGCACAGATGGCTTTTAATCCAGCCGAAGTGCAAAGCTTTCTCCTCACGATATTCCTTTCCTGACCAATGTTTCGGTCCACGTCCGAAGTGCCGAGAAAAGAAAAACGTCTTGTTACGGCCAAGAGCCCATTTATGTAAGCGGTGGAAATTCTTCATTCACGTTCGTCTTGCTACTTCTTCCGTAGGGAAATCATCCGCGCCAGTGAAGGTGTGGAAAACGGTGCCAGGTTTGCAACACGGATCTACAGCCTAAAAGTGGTAAATCAGTGCTGGGACTATATACCACTCGGGACTCTGGAGCAGAATGCTCACACTCACCCCGCCCCCTAGAAATAAATTATTGGACTACGGCACCCGTCACTGGCTTGGGCTGATGGGACTTGCAAAGCCATCTGCCTGCCCTCTGCTTAAGAACTGCTCATGTTCCCCCTCCCTACAAAAATTTGCAACTGCAAGCAAAGCAACCCTTCCAGACGCATTCACACATGCACAATTGACCCCATCCCGTCTTGGGCCGAATGTGTGAATGCACATAGTCAGAGACAACTGCGGCCAGTGACCCTCCAACACTTTTGACCCGTGTGCCCTCATGGCTGGGCACACCCCAAAATCTTCACCCAGGAAGCATCTCCACACCCTCTAGCGGCCTCCAGATGCAAGCTGGCGCCCGGTGGCCCCCCGTCTGGGGGCCTGCGGTGGAGGGAAAGGGGCGCTCGGCCGCAGTGCGCACACTCCTTGCCACTGCGCACATGTGCATATGCCGGAAACCGAGCCCCGTGTGTGACACCCCAAGGCCCAGCACTAGACTTTATCAGACACACACAAGGAAGCAGGGCCGATTTATTCGAGCACGTTCCAAAATCAGCCCGGCTTTGCCAGGTCTGTCCGCCCCATTTCAGCACAACTTGCAGAAGGTGTGTGTGTGTGTGTGTGTGTGTGTGTGTGTGTGTGTGTGTGTGTGTGTGTTCTCAGGGTGTAATCTTGCACATGTTTAGACAGGAAAAGAAGTTGTACAACTTCCAGCATTCGCTGGCCAGCCCAGGAAATGCTGGGAGCTGTACAGCTTCAAAGCATGCATGGGATTGTAGGGTTTCTTTCTGTCTGAACATGCCTAGGAGTGTAGGACCTTTTTCTTTTTTTTAAAGATATGTATGGGATGTAGGCCTTTCTTGGCCTAAACTTGCACAGAACCAAAGCTTTGCTGTCTAATTTTTGAGGGGCGATTTCTGATGGAAGCACCCTCTGTTCACAAAAGGCCGAGTTAAACTGCAGCCACCACAAGATGTGGGGACCGTCCCCCTTTTGGGCTGCTTTTAAAAAATGGGGCAAATGCACGGAGGAGAACGCGACCACGTGGCTGTAAATCCAGGCAGTCAGAAGCACCCGCATTCGAGGGAAAGACTGGCGGCCCAGGTACTCGTGTGCTCAATCAAATTTGGGGGCCTTTGGCACCGTTCCAGCCACCGTTAAGACCAAGCTGTGAGATCTGCAAAGGTGAGCGCTGCATTTTGAAAAGCGGCACAAAATCCTCCCCCTTAAAAAAATGTGCCGCGCTTGAATCAAGCAGAGGGTGAAGCAACATTCATGCCACCCTTCGGTTGTTATCTTCGGTTGTCGCACTGGAGCCCTTTTGAAAAATTATAATTACGGTGCTGCCGCCGTTAAGTGGGAGCCTGCAATTACTTGTTCATAGAACGAGAGGACAATTGTACCCATTCGTTGTATCTCTCGCTAATAGGATGACTCATCTTGGACAGCCACTGGAATCCACTTATTTAATGATTTTAGTTTTACAAAGAATGATAATTAGTGTTGAAAAGAGTTCCGTATCTTTGCGGAGTGTTATGTCTTATTTGTTATATTATAATAATCAGTGTTGTGAAAAAAAGCCAGGAGAGCAGAAAAGGGAAAATATTACACCAGTCCAAAGCTGCGGCGGGGACGGACCCATAAATGCAAAAAGGGTGATAAACCATAGAAACTAAACCGCACATCAAACAATCTCAGGTTAGAATCTTGCCTAGAGCATTGAATAGATAGTTTTCGTCATCCGTTCCCATCCCTGCAGCTGAAGCGTGGAAATAATATGAATGTTGGTTACATCAGTGCAATTTCTAACTTCCTAATAAAACTCAAGTCTCAGCCTGGGACTGTCCTTGAAGACTTTTGGAGCCGCAAGACGAACAGGAGAGGGGCTTCAGGGGTCAGCGCTGTGGCTTTTAAAAAGAAAAAAGACAAATAAATAACCTCCAGAGGATTTGCAACTCGTTATTAATGGCAACATGTACTCTTTTCTTTTGTTTGTTTGTTTTGGTAGTGTTGCCTCTTTAAAATCTTCTAGGGAAATAAAGAAAAATGCATTTGGGGGCATTTTGGAGGGAGGGAGTATGCAGTGTGAAAGAAATATTTATTTATTCTATTTATTTGGAATTTTTTAATTTAGTTGGAATTTATTTATTTGGAATTTTTTAAGTTATTTATTTGGAATTTTTTAATTTGTATTTGTATTGTATTTGTATTTTATTGTATTTTATTGTGTTGTAAGCCGCCCCGAGGCTTCGGCAAGGGGCGGCATAGAAATGTTTTAATAAATAAATAAAT